CTTAAGCCTCGAGTTCAACAAATATTTGACGAGCCCAACTCGAGCTAGATTTTTGAAGCTTGACTGGAGCTCGGCTCAAGCTCGAACTCGACTAATTTTTAATAAACAAGTTTGGACATTTAAAAACTCAGCTGTGTAAAGGTCAAAAAAAAAAAAATGAAGGTCCACCATGCTTTATTAGCTTTGAGAAATGGGACTCAAATGCAACAAAGCAGCAGCCAAATGTATTGGCAGTCTACTACAAATTACCTGTAAAAACAAGCTCAAAAATGAATTAGATCACCCAAAACAGATTTCTGATGCACAATCTTCTTCCATTTTTGTTCCTATTTTGAAATAACTCGCCAGCTTGAGCGTGCATTACATGTCAAAAGGCATAATTAACGTGAAAATGAAACTTTAAAAGTACGTTATTTTGTCAATGAAACTTTCTTCTGGCTCCAAAAATGAATTGTGCAGAAATCTTAACCGAACATGATTTAACATATTCGAAAAAATAGAATTTCATTCAAAATATTTTGTCATCCCAAACTAGATCTTGTTACTTCATATGCCAAGAAGCATGCTGCATTTGCTGGAACACTTCGAGCCATGGCAGGTCCAAAAACCTTGTACAAGCCTTTCACTCCCTCCGAGGCCACAATCTTTCTAAAAGCATCAATCGAGCCAGAAAACTTGGGATTTTTGTAATCATCAACTTGAATTACGCTCTTGACAACATCGGTTGGGTAGACAGAAACCCAGAAGGAAGCTCCAGCCAAGCCTCCTGCTATAATCAAAGAACCTCTTCCCAACTTGGATGTGTCTTGCCCTCCCGCAAGGTACTGCTTCAGGGCTTCGTAGACGCCAAACATTGCAGCATTTCCAGGAACTTCTCGTGCCATAGTGGGAATTAAGCCCTTGAAGAGACCTCTCATACCGCCTTCTGATCGGAGAACATGCCTTGCCACGTCCATTGGTCCTGCATACTTCACTGCCACGGCAGCTGAACCAGAATCTGCTAGAGCACTCTGTGCTTGCAACCTGTTTCACAGTTAGATCCTGAGCAGTTCATGAGTAATTCTTTAAAGGTCTCCATCTCATAATAGCATAGCGCCTAATAAAAAATGCTTGAATAAAATGGCATAGAAACTTTCAATTTGGAAATCACTGAAGATAGTGACATCAACAAGGGAAATTCGAAAAACAAGGGAAATTCAAAAGCACTTTTCAAGTGAGGGAAAGAAACACAAATTGTCATTTTACAGGTAATCTGAAACTATGTTACATGAAATGCAAATCACTCTGGTACATGGAACGGAAAAGTGAGCATGATACGCTATATGCTCTAAATAGGATAGGCATAGACTTTGTTTAGATTACACTAATGGAATTTAAGGTGTTTCTTTTGTAATGTTCTTTTAACGATTAGACATCCAATATAGTGTATATGTCTTTTGAATTTGACCATGTAAAACCACATTTCTAGGAGGAGTATTAAGGTATTTTTTTTTTAACATACATTCTGTCCTTCCAAAACTCCAGTCTCCCTAGATTTTTAGTTCATTAAATTTCACATTTTCCTCGTAAAGAAACGTTTAAGATAATAAAATTTGGATTCACTTTGAATCACTAAATGTGCCAAATTTCCGAACATGCATTTCATAACCTAAATCATTAGGGTATTAGTGTTTTTTGGTAACCCTCAAACATTTGTAAACTTTTAAAATGGTTAAGAAATTACTCATAACCAGGATTTTAGGTTACAAGATGATTATACTAGACACAATCAGGTTGAGTAGGCTTGATGGCAAAGCAAGGGTCCAAGTCTGACTCAATAAAACATGGGAAAACTAGGTTTTAGTGCCAAAGAAAAAAGTAGGTGGAAAAAAAAGAGGGAAGAGGGAGAGAGTAATGCTATACAGACAACTTTTCAGATTTTTCATACAAAATGGTGGGCTGATTTATGTTCTATCATATCACCCAAAAAAATCAAATAAAGACCTATCACAGAAACTCACTACATTTTATAGGCATTCTGTAAAGGATTTCTGTATTGTCAGAATTTTCCAAAATGAAAAAAAATAAAAAATGAAAATTGCAGAGCACCATTAAACTGACCTGCACTTGATCAATTCAGTGGGGCAAGCCAAAAAGCAGACGGCAACTCCAGCCCCAGCCCCAGCAATTATCTGCTGATTGACGGTCAGAGGCGCACCAGGTTCAGATCTCAATAAAGATTCCATTTGTCCTCTAACTGTAAATAGGAGAGCATTAAAGGCTGCCACAGTGGCAAGAGGTGCCCCCATACCTTTGTACAGACCACTTGGGCCTTCTGATGCTATCGTTTTTCTGACAGCATCCATAGCACCCGAGTATTTCAGAGGTTGACCTGGGAGTGGTGTGGGTTGGCTTTGGAGTTTGACCTTGATCGTATCAAAGGGGTGTCCAACAATCAACTGCGCTGCCCCACCAACAGTCCCAGCAACTAGGTCCTTGGCTACGTCACCCATCTGCAAATTTCATATATCAAAAACGATTCAGCTTAAAAAATATAATAATAAATAATTTGGAATCAAATGATTAATTCAAATGGTTAAAGGAAAAGTCATTAAATTTAGCTATGTATCATGGACTCTTCTAAATGTAAAAAGTATCCATATTGGGCATTCGACACTTAACTAAGGGTCAGACGTGTAGTTGGACATTCATCCAGAAAAAAATATTTAGTAAAGACCTGTCGCTACTGACAATGAAATGGATTTTAGAATTTATTAACATTTCTTTAAATTTACTATAAAATTATGCATAAAACTTCATATTATGCAATGCTCCATGACACCTTGTAAAAACCATTTTATCCTAAAAAGTAAAATAAACAGACAAATACCCGCACCGGACACCAATACCCCAATCCAAGTAACATAACTTGTGTTGTTCAAATTAAGCAATCTAGAAAACAGGGCTGCAATAGGAAACCTCTGTGTTCCAGGCTTCGTAATCAGAAAAACAATATATTCCTTGAGGGCTATCCTTGTGCTAGAGAGGAACCCTCCACCCAAATAAAAAGGATGAATTGCTTAAGAAAGGACATATATTTCCAGGATAAAACATAACACTCTTGCAGGGGAAAAAAAGCAAGTCCAAGAGGCAATAACAATAGTTGATCCAACTATGTCCCGACTACTTGGTCAGCAACACAAATTTTGTTTCAATAAAAATAACTAATAATCAAATTCCCTCACAGCACCACAGAAAGCTGATTGTAGGATGGACCTAATATAAGGCTAAGCAAACGCCAGTAGTCCATGTTCCAAGCAAAACCACTTCAATAACCAACAGATGTCTACATGACACCCACTACAACCCTTGGGCACAATCTAGGAAAACCACAACTGAATTAGCTCCGAATCTCCAATAGACCATCTATCTTATTCACATACGACAAGTCACCTATGATAACTCGTCCTTAAGTAAAAATAGTATTTTGAAAAGAAGGCTAGATGTTCTATCCCTAGTAACGCAAGATGCAAAACTGGAATGTATCAAATATATTGAAAATTAATTAAGATGCGTAAATAAAACAACAGATAACAAATAAGCTTAAGTAAAAGATATATAAAATTATAGAAATTTACTTAAAATAAATTTAAGGGTATTTTACGCGTACTGACATTTTTATCAACAATAATCACATAAATAATGACAAAAACAAGTTGTGGTAAATTCATAATCAGGTAAAAGAATTTAAATACAAGATCATCCATAATCACATAAAAAGGTTTACTCTTTAATAATGGTAAAACACTAAAGAGTCAAAGGTTAAAATTAAAGAAATAAACAACTGGGAAAAATTAGAAGAGAAAATATCAGTGCTGATATTAAAGAGTAAACCTTTTTATGTGATTATATTAGTGCTGATATTTTCACTTCTATATTTTCAATTGAAAAGAGACAAAGATGGAATGATGCTTGTAAGGATTAAAGAAAATATTAAAAAGCATGCCAGAAGTCTTAGGTTAATAAATTATAATCAATGGTCAGGTTGAGTAGGCTTGATGGCAAAGCAAGGGTCCAAGTCTGACTCAATAAAACGTAAGAAAGTTTGAAACTTTAGAATATCATGATCACTGCATGCCTCATCCACATATTACAATCACAGCATGATTCATCCCCATAAAATATTACAATCTGTGATTCTTAAAATATAATAACAATTCAAATCACCAAAACCATGAACAGAGCAGTAGTAGAGATTGAATGTCTCTGTATTGTTACATCTACATATGTTTTTGAAAACAAAAACCAACCAGCATATATCATATTTTCTATTTATTATTTTTAGAGTTACATTTAAAAACTAAAAAATATATATGAATAATACGTTTATTTTTTTCAATTCAAAAAATATATTCTAGTTGAAAACTTTTTTTCAACTAAATATTTAAACTCTTTTTCAATTGAAAACACAAACATAATATTTAAACAAATTGAAAATACAAAGTCTTATAAATTACTAGGGGTGCTCGTGATTTGGCGGTTTGGCGGTTCGGTTGCGGCCAAAAAATCTCAAATCCGCCATCCGTCCGCCAAATTGGCGGATTGGAGAAAATCAATCCGCAACCGTCCGCTCGTCATCACGCATCCGTCCAAAATGCGGCAGATCGGTTCGGTTCGGTCGGTTTTGGCGGATCGGTATATCCGCTGCTCACCCCTACCCAAAATAATGGTCCCTTTTGAGGAATCCAAAATAAGATGACTCGATGACTAAACATTGCACCCTTGTTGCAGCTTGTTATTTAATTATTTATTTATTTTTTTGGGTCAATTGATAGTAAAGTAATTACAAGTATGAAAAGTATTATATCATCAAACGGATTATTAGTCCATAATAGTTTATCTAACAAAAATAATCAATTACCACGCCTACTAAACTCAAGCCCAATAACTACTCACTACTACTTAGTACAAATTCCATAATGATGGAGAAATAAACAACAATATAAACACTATCAAATTCTTCTTCATAAAAGTTGAATGGAAGATCTCATGGTACAAATGGTATTACTACTAATAAGCCAAATGGTCAAATTTGGTGAGTGTTAGTAATTGATTGATTTTGGATCTCCATACTTAAAAATTTAGGTTGTGTTTGGTTTAGAGGTGGAATCATAATTCCACCCTCCTATTTTGGTGTTGTGTTTGAATATAGTTTTTAAAAATTGATTTCACACCCACGTTTGAAAATTCTTTTCAAAACATGTTTGGCAAAGTGAGTTTTTGAATTTTGAAATTGGGTCTACCCAGTTGTTTGCCCGGACATCCACCTGAACAGTTTTTGAATTTTTTTGTCTACCCGATCGTTCGCCCGAACATCTGGTCGATCGTCCAGCCGGTTGACCAGAACAGTGTTTTTTTTTTTTTTTTTTGCAAATGACACCTGTTATTTAAAAAATATATATTTATATTTGTTTTTGATATGTTGACGATATAGAAATTATTTTTTGTTAGACCAAAATGACATTTATTTAAAATTAACAAAAAAAAAATAAATAAAATTTAATTTGTCACAGTAATTTTTAAAAAATAAAAAGAATATTTTTAAACAAAACAATTAAAAAAATTTCCAATCAAATATACAATTAAAAGTAATTTTAAAGCATTAGTTGAATATTTTTTTAACAAAAAATAATATATATTTTAAATAAAAAAATGTTTTCAGAATTTTTTGAATTTTTTAAATAAAAAATTTCTTTTTTTCAATAATTATTTTTTTGAATTGAATTTTAAAAAGAGTTTGGTTATGAGTTTTAAATAGAATATTTAATAGAGTTTTGAGTTGTGTGTTTGATTATAAGTTTTTGAATTAAGTTTTGAGAACTCTTTTCAAAACTCATAACTAAACAATTTTTCTGATTTCAAAAATTCGAAATTTATAACCAAACAAATTTTCTTTTCTCAAATCATGATTCAACAACTCACAAACTCAAAATATAATTTCATTTTTAAATCATAATTCTAAAACTAAATCAAACGATGCCTTATGCTTTCATATTATGAATGCACTCCAATCTACGTGATTTTTAAAAAAAGTTTTTATATCTTAAAATTGGGTAATCTTACTTTAACTCAAAAGTTAGATTTATATTTCAAATAATATGGCAGTCTCTTAAAATGTTTAAAGTAACTTTTTGTCTTTCATATCTTCTCTAATTATTAATCAATTATTTTTTTTACGCATAATTAAATTTTATAAATAAGTTTAGAAATTAAGCTTCCATATCATTTTCCCTTCAAATTCTCATCATATTATGCGATTGATAGTGAATTAAGAGTAGATAAATGGAAATTTCAGGATGAGAAATTGCTAGCCCTAGCCCATGGAGCTATGTCATGCGGGGCTTGAGGAGCAATCATTATTTTTTATTAACAAAAATAAATTATTGATGCGAAGCAAAAGAATCATTTTTTTTTTGATGTAGAACAAAAGAACCAATAACTTCTTTTAAGAGTAGTAACTTTGGAAATGAGAAGGAAGTGGGGATGGGAATTGGAATGGCGTGGGGCGAAGGGAGAAAGAGAAAGAGAGCGAAAAACCCTAGAAAATGGAGACGACGAAGGAAAGCATGGCATTGTCGGATTGTGACAAAGACAACACACACTGTATACTCTTCAAGAAAGAGATTAAAATATGGGTATGTAACTTCTAAGATTAATGAGTTTGATTTTATACACATATCTAAGAGCATTTTCAATGGTTCATTTAATTTTTTATCAAATTTGAATAAAAAAATAATTATTTTTTCAATTTGATACAGAATGCTTCAATATTTGATTTTCATCAAATTTGCTCCAGGGACAACTGATTAGTCAACTGGCTGGTCGACCGGTAAGGCAAATTTTTTTTTTTTTGAATTGTTTGAACCTACCTATTTGAACTGTTTAAACCTTTTAGTGGTCGATCGGTTGGTCGACCGGTAAGGCAAATATATATATATATATATATATATATATTGAATTGTTTGAACCTACCCATTTGAACTGTTTGAACCTTTTTGTGGTCGACCGGTTGGTCAACCGGTTGGTTGATCGGTTCCTCTCCTCCAACGGTCACAAACAGTAATTTGCTGAAATCTGTATCCTGTTCTCAATTTGATGATTTTTTTGTTCAATTTTCAATTTGATACTAGTTTGGTAAAACTTTTGGAGTTTCAAAAAGTGACTTTTTCACTAAATTTCAAATTTGATGTCAGGTTTGGTGAACCATTGGAGATGGTCTAAAATAACTTGTGAACAACATACATATTGAAAATTGTCATTTTAATTGAGGCTATTATATTTTTTTAATGTAGGATTTATATATTTGGATCAATAATATTTTATTATAAGGTTAATTGGTGAAAAGTTCACACCAAAAGGTAATATGTTATTTGATCTAAGGTTTAATAATTTTTTTTTTATGATAAACACACTTATTGAAAAGTGACCGGTGCCGGAAAATTGACTGGAAAAGTCATTGAAAAAGCTGCTGGTAGCTGGCAGCGACGACTTTCAGACAAGATAAGTGAATAAATAGGTGATACGTGTATAAAATGTGACATTTGGACAAATAGTTAGACAAATAAATAAATTTTAGATAGATAGGTGTCATTTTGGACAAATCAATATCCTTTTGACCAATTTTTTTTTTTAAGTTTAAACCTATTGACTAAAAAATTTCAAAAATGAACCTCTAATCTGAGTGTCATTTATTTTAGGATAAATTATAAATATATTCCTTAAAATTTGTTTAAAACATAAATTGCTCTTTATAGTTCTGAAAATTATATTATGTCCTTTCAAGTTTCTAATTGCATAACAAATGACCTCTTTTATTAATAAATCATTAAGTCAATTGACTATTTTTAATGATGTTAGAAATATATTTCAATTAACAATTTAGACAATTTTATTGTTACATAGAAGAGTAGTTGGAAATTTTTTTTTTCTATTAATTTTATTAAATAATTTTTTTTGCCAAGAGAGCATTTATAATTTTCAAAATCATATGAGATAATGTATATTTTAAATAAATCTCCAAAGATATATTTAAAATTTATCCTTTATTTTTATGTATTGTTCACATATTAATAAATTTATTTTCTTAGAAGGAGCAAGTGCATTAGTACAACAACCTAAAGACATCCAACTTTTCTTGACATCCTTTTGCTTTCTTTGCTCCTTATCTCTCGTCCTCTGGTTTTTTTTACTTCACAATCAAAGGGAAATTACATTTCATTGCACAGAGAATAATTTTATTTTTATATTAAAGCAAGGCTTTTGTATGTATAGTACAAATCTTTTTTTTTTTTTTTGGTAGGAACAATCTTCTGTGTAAATAAAATAATTAGAAATAAATTCAAACAAAATAAATAAATAACATACCGGATTTATTTTGTCGAACCAAATAAAAATTGCAAGACCAAGTCGAGTGTGTGAC